CACTAATCAGGACCCAACATTATCATTTTGAAGCCCATTGGAGGTACCATGTCCTGTAATTATACAAGGACTATGGAACCATAATTTGGGCAATTATTTAGGCCCCTACATTACAGGGGTGAGGCCTTCCTCTTTGAGCTGAACCCGCTACCCTCATCAAAACTGCCATCCAGCGTGGCGACCATAACCGTTCTCATGCTGTTGAATGATAATGTCAGTCGCCAAGAACAAAGGACACGTGGCCTGCTGTGATGATCATGCAGCCTCTTGTTGACATCTATCATACATATATTGCTATAGGGAAGGGAGTTTTGGTCCGAGAGGGTAAATTATGCTCGCTAGCATTGCACCAGACGGTGAAACAAAAAGCAAACATACCATACACCACAACTGCGGCTGCAGGGACTTGGTAGTTTCCCAAAATTGAGGGGGATTCTGGGGACCCTGTAAAGGTACCCCCAATTTTGGGAACCCTCGAACCCTACAAAACCTCTAAATATATATATATATGGTATATATATATACATATCCTCTATACCCCCCTCAAAGGTACCCCTAATTTTGGGAAACCCCCATGTTGCAAATGCAATGACCAATGATCGCGCAGTCCAGCTGCTGCTGGGAGCTGTCCTGCCTATCCATCCTAAAGAGTCCCTTCGTGAACTTGTCCCTTTTCTACAAAACTCAAATTCCATACATGTGTAACTACATATATAAATATCTATATCCCAAAGTCTCTATACATATGTAGACATACCGTCTATGCCTACATTAGCCCATCCCGAAATCCCCTGAATATGGACCCAGCAGCTGCGTTGTCCAGCTTGTGCGGAATACTTCGCCCTACAGCAGCAAGCTGCGGCACGGACCTTGCTGGTTACACCCTAAACCCTAACTCCTAAACCAAAAAAAACTGGCAAAAACAATGAAAAGGGTAGGGCTTGTAGGGTCTAGGCATGGAAGCATATCACACAGAGACTGGGAACAGGAATGGAGGAATGGATCCCTGTAGTAGCCCCTGCTTATAATGGCGAAAGAAATAGTTGTATCCATATTGTTGTCCTTTCCCTCCCTCTAAACCCTTCCTAGTAGTTTCCGTATCTTTTCCATTTCCATTCCTTCATTC